ATCCACCTGCCTCGGCCTCCCAAAGTGATGGGATTACTGGCATGAGCCACTGCACCCAGCCTATCTTGTTTTACACATAAATAAAAATCCAATATTAGTACCTACTTCTATTAGGTAGAAGTTACACCCACTGGCCAGGCATGGTGGCTCACCCCTGTAATCCCAACACTTTGGGAGGCCAAGGCAGGCAGATCACTTGAGGCCAAGAGTTCAAGACCAGCCTGGCCAACATGGTGAAACCCCGTCTCAGTACTAAGAATACAAAAATTAGCTGGGCGCCGGGCGCGGTGGCTCAAGCCTGTAATCCCAGCACTTTGGGAGGCCGAGGCCGGTGGATCACAAGGTCGAGAGATCGAGACCATCCTGGTCAACATGGTGAAACCCCGTCTCTACTAAAAATACAAAAAACTAGCTGGGCGTGGTAGCGCGTGCCTGTAATCCCAGCTACTTAGGAGGCTGAGGCAGGAGAACTGCCTGAGCACAGGAGGCAGAGGCTGCGGTGAGCCAAGATCGCGCCATTGCACTCCAGCCTGGGTAACAAGAGCGAAACTCCGTCTCAAAAAAAAAAAAAAAAAATTAGCCGGGCAAGGTGTGTGACTGTAATCCCAGCTACTTGGGAGGCTGAGGTGGGAGAAATCACTTGACCCGGAAGGTGGAGGTTGCAGTGAGCCAAGATCAAGTGACTGTACTCCAGCTTGGGCAACAGAACGAGACCTTGTCTCAAAAAAAAAAAAAGAAAAGAAAAGAAAAGAAATTATATTGATTTACAAATTAAAGGAACTGTGTTTTAGCAACAGTTAAATAACTGCCCAGGAGTACTGGGCCTCAAAGTCAAGTCTGCCTCCAAGTTCTGCTTTTTCCATTATGCCAAACAACCTGCCTGCCTCATGTATATCCTGCCTTTTAAAGTTAAACTAGGCTACTAACTGCAGTTTAAGTCTCAATGGTGTGGCCATTAAGAATACTGCTTAGGGGGAGGCCAAGGCAGCCAACCACTTGAGCCCAGGAGACCATCCTGGGCAACAGTGAGACCTCGTCTGTATTAAAAACAAACAGGCGGCCGGGTGCGGTGGCTCAAGCCTGTAATCCCAGCACTTTGGGAGGCCGAGGCGGGTGGATCACGAGGTCGAGAGATCGAGACCATCCTGGTCAACATGGTGAAACCCTGTCTCTACTAAAAGTACAAAAAATTAGCTGGGCATGGTGGAGCATGCCTGTAATCCCAGCTACTCAGGAGGCTGAGGCAGGAGAATTGCCTGAACCCAGGAGGCGGAGGTTGCGGTGAGCCGAGATCGCGCCATTGCACTCCAGCCTGGGTAACAAGAGCGAAACTCCGTCTCAAAAAAAAAAAAAAACAGGCTGGGTGCAGTGGCTCCCACCTGTAACCCCAACACTTTGGGACAGGGATGATGGCGTGTGCCTGTAATCCTAGCTACTGGGGAGGCTGAGGCAGGAGAATCACTTGAACCCGGGAGGTGGAGGTTGCAGTAGGCCAAGACGGAGCCACTGCACTCCAGTCTGGGCAACAAGAATGAAACCCCATCCAAAAAAAAAAAAAAAAAGTCAGGCAGGGCGCCATGGCTAGCGCCTTTAATCCTAGCACTTTGGGAGGCCGAGGCGTGAGGATCACCTGAGGTCAGGAGTTCGAGACCAGCCTGACCAACATGGTTAAATCCCGTCTTTAAAAAAAAAAAAGTCGGCCAGGCGCAGTGGCTCAAGCCTGTAATCCCAGCACTTTGGGAGGCCAAGGCAGGTGGATCACGAGGTCAAGAGATCAAGACCATCCTGGTCAACATGGTGAAACCCAGTCTCTATTAAAAATACAAAAAAAATTTGCTGGGCATGGTGGCGCGTGCCTGTAATCCCAGCTACTCAGGAGGCTGAGGCTGTGGTGAGCCGAAATCGCGCTATTGCACTCCAGCCTGGGTAACAACAGCGAAACTCTGTCTCAAATAAAAAAAAAAGTCAATCAAGTCAAGTGCGGAGGCTCACTCTTGTAATCCCAGAACTTTGCAAGACTGAGGCAGGCGTCGGGAGCGTGGCCAACATGGTGAAACCCTTTCTCCACAAAAAATATAGAAAAAACCAGCCGAGCATGGTGGTGGACACCTGTAATCCCAGCTACTCAGGAGGCTGAGGCAGGAGAATTGCTTGAACTTGGGAAGGGGAGATTACAGTAAGCTGAGATCACACCACTGCACTCCAGCCTGGGCAACAGAGCAAAACTCCGTCTCAAAACAGAAACAAAAAAAATTAGTCAATCAAGACTACAGGTAACTTCCAGAAGCAAAAGTCTTCTTATTCATACTTACAGACTTTATTGTAGAATAGGGCCTAGTGCTTAGCAGATGGTCAGTGTTGAACCTAACTGTATCATGAGACCCTCACTGAAAAAGTCCTCTCAATACTTCATTTTAAAGCAACTTACTATATGCTACCAGATGAAAAAGTACACCAAGTGTACTGTCTAGGAATGTAATATAGAATTATTTTACAAACAGAAAAAAAGGCCAGGCGAGATGGCTCATGATTGTAATCCCAGCAATTTGGACAGCTAAGGAAGGAGGATTACTTAAGCCCAGGACTTCCAGACAAGTCTGGGCAACAAAGCAAGACCCCATCTCTCCAAAAAAAAAAAGAAAAAATTAGGCCGGGCGCGGTGGCTCACGCCTGTAATCCTAACACTTTGGGAGGCCGAGGTGGGTGAATCACCTGAGGTCAGGAGTTCAAGACCAGCCTGGCCATCATGGTGAAACCCCATCTTTTTATTTATTTAAAAAAAAAAAAAATTAGCTGGGTATCTGATGGCGCCTGTAGTCCCAGCTACTCGAGGCTGAGTTAGGAGGATCGCTTGAACCTAGGAGGCTGAGGCTGCAGTGAGCCATGATGGTGCCAGTGCACTCCAGCGTGGGTGACAGAGTGAGACGCTGTCTCAAAAAAAGAAAAAAAGAAAACAAAAACTTAGTTACATAACATAAACAAAAGTACTTTTGGGCATATTTTAAACTAAACACTACATATAAGAAATGTGGCCGGGCACGGTAGCTCAAGCCTGTAATCCCAGCACTTTGGGAGGCCGAGGTGGGTGGATAACCTTAGGTCAGGTGTTCAAGATCAGCTTGACCAATATGGTGAAACCCTGTCTCTACTAAAAATACAGAAATTAGGCCATATGCGGTGGCTTACAACTGTAATCCCAGCACTTTGGGAGTCTGAGGACGGTGGATCACCTGAAGTCATCAATTTGCCACCAGCCTGGCCACCAAGGTGAAACCCTATCTCTACTAAAAATACAAAAAATTGGCCAGGTGTGGTGGCTCACACCTGTAATCCCAGCACTTTGGGAGGCTGAGGCAGGTGAATCACTTGAGGTCAGGAGTTCAAGACCAGACTGACCAACACGGTGAAAACCCGTCTCTTCTAAATAAATAAACAAAAACTTAGCCGGGCATGGTGGCCAGCGCCTGTAGTGCCAGCTACTTGGGAGGCTGAGACAGGAGAACAGCTTGAACCTGGGAGGTGGAGGTTGGACTGAGCCGAGATCACGCCACTGCACTCCAGCCTGGGAGACAGAGCCATAACTCCATCTCAAATAAAAAAAAAAGTCCTTTCATTTTACTGAGATACCACACCTTTGCAAGCCTGAAAGGGTAACCACTATCTGCCTCTGTAGTTGGAAATTTCAACAACAATGGATCAAACCAACCAAAGCAGTAACTGTAACCTGGGTATATCTACTTTTTGTATCTTCAACCCAACATTTAATGGGTGCCAAACAAAAAAAAAAAAGAGGCGTAAAGCCTCCCTTTCATGTGTTTAATAACATCAGCTCTGAGACCAGAGTACCTTCTGTTATTCACCCTCTGCAAAATGGGCATCCTCAAATAATGTCTCACTTAGAATGTCAACAGGATTAAACAAGAAAAAAACGTGCAAAACGTGTATCTGTTTCCGCATTTACTGTGTCTCTCCCTTCTCCTAACTAACCTCAAAACCCTCATTCGATCTATCTTGCTTATTGCTGTATTCTCAGGGCCTGGAATGGTATTTTAAAACTTACTGTAACAGATGACTTAATATTAAGTAAACTGAATGCACAATGGCTCTCAAAAAAATGTTGTATATTATAACTACAGTAATGAAAAACAATTAAAATTTTATTGTCTTATTAAAAGAAGCCACCCCTCCCCCAAGGATCTCACACATCGAGGAGGAACACTAGATAAATGTTGGAATGGCGAAATGGAAGTGAGAGTAACAATTGGATCACGGAGCAGGACTAACCACAACAAAATAAAATCTTAAGCACAGGGCTAGAGCCCGATTTCGGACTTGCCGAGAGCGGTGCACCCTGTATGAGATTAATAATGCAACATTACAATGACAGTTTTCACAATTTTCTGTGTGCCAGGGTCTGTGTTAAGCGTTTTACTGGCCTCACGAAACCCAAGAACCCGGGGGGAGGAAGAGAAACCACTCCACACCCCCATTTTTCAGATGGGGGAACTGAGGCCCCGGGAGAGCCAAGGTCAAAACCTGTAAATGGGCAAACCGGGATGTGAGCCGGGCAGCCAACCCCCGAGCCTGCGCTCAAACGGGCCCTCGGAGGGGTCATTCTCCTCTCCTCCAACTCTCAAAATCGGCCGGGTGTGGTATTTCCCCAGGAGCCGGACTTCGTGGCCCCAGCGCCAAGAGAACAAAATAATTCTCGTCCGCGGGCAAGTCCCACGGACGCCGGCACGGCCTGGGTTCCGCGGCCGCGGGCCCCACAGTTTCCCTCACACCGTGAGCCCCGAGCCCTTCGGGCGGCGCAGGAAGCGACGGGGTGGCCTCGGGAGCCCGGGAAGGCCCGCCCCGCCGCGTGACCTTGGATCCGCCGCCTCGATCCGGGCCTCAGTTTCCACTCCCGGCCTCGCGCCCGGGGCACCCGGGAGCCCGAGCCTGTGGAGCCGCAGGCCCTCACACGCCCCCTCGGCCGCCCGCCTTCACGCCCCGCTTACGCTGGAAGGCGGCCGCTCCAGGGACGCCCACCATCGCCGAGCGCCGCCACCGCCGCCGCCGCGCGCCGCCCGCCTCGACCCGCGACACGGGTCCCTCGCAGGCGCCGCCCGCCTCGACCCGCGGACCGGGCCCCTCGCAGGCGTCGCCGCGAGATCTGCAGCGGCCGAGTTAGCAGACACCGCCACTGCTGCTGTCGCCGCCGCCGCCGCCGCCGCCGCGGTTAGGCCGCGCGCCGCCCCGCCTCCGACTGGCCACGCCACGCCCGTCGGGCACGCCCCCGCCGCACGCTCCCGCCGCCAGACCAACGCACGCGGAAGCCCGGCCCCAAGACCGGCTCCCACTAAGCCCCGCCCCCTAACCTGACCCGCCCCTTCCGCGGGAACCGACCGCCGTATCCCGGCGCAGCCTGCTTCTCATACCCGTCCCCTAGGCGTCACGCTCGCCCGTCACGCGCACGGCCCACTTTCTAGCTCTGGGCTTCTCAGTGTGGCCAGGGCAGCGGCCCAGGCACGGGGGAGGAGTCCTAGGGGGCGGGATTACAATGAGTGGCAACGTCTCACCTGAGTTCTCCAGGTGCAGGCCTGGTGGCTTTTGCGCATGTCTACGAGCGAGTCCCCGCCCCTTTTTGGCCTAAAGTGTTTTAAGTGCCCAAAATTTAATGATCATAATATTCTGTTGTTGTATATAACCATAATATCATAATATTAACTGTTGGTCCGGCGCGGTGGCCCACGCCTGTAATCCTGGCACTTTGGGAGGCCAAAGAAGAATCACTTCAGCTCAAGAGTTTGAGACTACCATCTCTATTTAAAAAGAATAAAAATAAAAAATATGCCGGGCTTGGCGGCTCACGCCTATAATCCTAGCACTTTGGGAGAATGAGGCGGGTGAATTACCTGAGATCAGGAGTTCGACACTAGGCCTGGCCAATGTGGCGAAACGCTGCCTCTGCTAAATATACAGAAAATAGAGCCGGGCGTGGTGGCTCACACCTATATTGCCAGCAGTTTGGAAGGCCGAGGAGGAAGGATCACGTGGTCAAGAGTTTGAGACCAGCCTGGCCAATATGGTGAAACCTCATCTCTACATCTGTACCAAAAAAAAAAAAAAAAAAAAAATACAAAAATTAGCCTGGACGTGGCGGCTCATGCCGGTAATCCCAGCACTTTGGGAGGCCAAGCGCGCGGATTACCTGAGGTCGGGAGTACTAGACTAGCCTTACCAACATAGAGAAACCCCCTCTCTACTAAAAATACAAAACCAGCTGGGCGTGGTGGCCACATGCCTGTAATCCCAGCTACTTAAGAGGCTGAGGCAGGAGAATCACTTGAACTGGGGTGAGGGGGTAGGTTTTAGTGAGCTGACCGCACCACTACACTCCAGCCTCGGTGACAGAGCAAAACTCTGTCTAAAAAAAAAAAGAAAAGAAAGAAACAGAATAAAGACTTGTTTCTCAGTATTATTTTAGATATCTCACACCTAGAATACAGAATGCATTTGTATTTTACTAGCTTATTGAAAACAAAATTTAAAAGACAGAATTTAGGCCAGGTACGGTGGTTAATGCCTGTAATCCCAGCACTTTGGGAGGCCAAGGCAGGTGGATCACTTGAGTTCAAGACTAGCCTAGGCAAAATGGTGAAACCCTGTGTCTATAAAAAACACAAAAATTAGCCAGACATGATAGTGCACTCATGCCTGTAGTCTCAGCTACTCAAGAGGCTGAGGTGGGAGGATCATATGAGCTAGGGAGATGGAGATTTCAGTTACCCAAGATCACACCAATGCACTCTGGCCTGAGCAACAGACTAAGAAAAAAAGACAAAATGGCCGGGCGTGGTGGCTCAAGCCTGTAATCCCAGCACTTTGGGAGGCCGAGGCGGGTGGATCACGAGGTCAAGAGATCGAGACCATCTTGGTCAACATAGTGAAAGCCCGTCTCTACTAAAAATACAAAAAAGTAGCTGGGCATGGTGGCACGTGCCTGTAATCCCAGCTACTCAGGAGGCTGAGGCAGGAGAATTGCCTGAACCCAGGAGGCCGAGGTTGCGGTGAGCCGAGATCACGCCATTGCACTCCAGCCTGGGTAACAAGAGTGAAACTCCGTCTCAAAAAAAAAAAAAGAAAAGAAAAAAAGACAAAATGTAGAAATAAGAACATATGTGCATATATTGGCTGGGTGTGGTGGCTCACACCTGTAATCCTAGCACTTTGGGAGGCCTAGGCAGACAGATCACCTGAGATCAGGAGTTCAAGACCAGCCTGGCCAACATGGTGAAACCTGTCTCTACTAAAAACACAAAAGTTTGAGGCCGGGCACGGTGGCTCAAGCCTGTAATCCCAGCACTTTGGGAGGCCGAGACAGGTGGATCACAAGGTCAAGAGATCGAGACCATCCCGGTCAACATGGTGAAACCCCGTCTCTACTAAAAATACAAAAAATTAGCTGGGCATGGTGGCGCGTGCCTGTAATCCCAGCTACTCAGGAGGCTGAGGCAGGAGAATTGCCTGAACCCAGGAGGCGGAGGTTGCGGTGAGCCGAGATCGCGCCATTGCACTCCAGCCTGGGTAACAAGAGTGAAACGCCGTCTCAAAAAGAAAAAAAAAAAAAGAAACTTAGAACCAAAGCATCCAAGATTCAGCGTCTTGTGACTCCAAGTGTCCTGCAGCACCAACGGTGGCAGGATTTTTTAATTGCTCTGAAGAAGCAGTGAACTCAGAAAAATAAGGAAGAGGCTGTAGAATATGCTAAACTTTTGACCAAGAGAATGAAGGAAGCTAAAGATAAGCGCCAGGAACAAATCGTAAAGAGAGACAGACTTTACTCTCTGCCAGCTCTACTTCCAAGTCTAAATCCAGTCAGAAATAAGATTTTTTGAGTAACAAATAAATAAGATCAGACTCAAAAAAAAGAGAAAAAAAGGCCGGACGCGGTGGCTCATGCCTGTAATCCCAGCACTTTGGGAGGCCGAGGCGGGTGGATCACGAGGTCAAGAGATCGAGACCATCCTGGTCAACATGGTGAAACCCCGTCTCTACTAAAAATACAAAAAAAATTAGCTGGGCATGGTGGTGCGTGCCTGTAATCCCAGCTACTCAGGAGGCTGAGGCAGGAGAATTGCCTGAGCCCAGGAGGCGGAGGTTGCGGTGAGCCGAGATCGCGCCATTGCACTCCAGCCTGGGCAACAAGAGCGAAACTCCGTCTCAAAAAAAAAAAAAAAGAAGAAGAAGAAACACATTATCAAAGATTTTACTTACCTTATTAGTTAACAAGGGAACCAATGAGACAAGAAGACTGGTTCAAAGGAGAACTTGAAAAAGGAGATTTATATAAAATAATCAGTCTGTAAATTATGTACCTTCTCTCTCTCTCTCTCTCTCTCTTTTTTTTTTTCACATGGAGTCTTGCTCTGTCACCAGGCTGCAGTGCAGTGGTGCGATCTCAGCTCATTGCAACCTCCGCCTCTCAGGGTCAAGCCATTCTCCTGCCTCAGCCTCGGGGTAGCTAGGACTACTACTTAATAGGCTGAGGTGGGAGCATCACTTGAACCTGGGAGGTCAAGGCTGCAGTGAGCCAAAATCACATCACTGCACTCTAGCCTAGGCAACACAGCAAGACTCTGTCTCAAAAAAAAAAAATTCCATTTATGATTAGGCCAAGCAGCATGGCAGCTCGCACCTGTAATCCCAGCACTTTGGGAGGCCTAGGCAGGTGGATTCCTTGAGGCCAGGACTTCAAGACCAGCCTGGCCAACATGGCAAAACTCCAGCTCTACAAAAAATACAAACATTTGGGCCGGGTGCAATGGCTCAAGCCTGTAATCCCAGCACTTTGGGAGGCTGAGTCAGGTGGATCGCGAGGTCAAGAAATCGAGACCATCCTGGTCAACATGGTGAAACCCCGTCTCTACTAACAATACAAAAAATCAGCTGGGCATGGTGGCGCGTGACTGTAATCCCAGCTACTCAGGAGGCTGAGGTAGGAGAATTGCCTGAACCTAGGAGGCAGAGGTTGCAGTGAGCCGAGATCGCGCAGTTGCACTCCAGCCTGGGTAACAAGAGTGAAACTCCGTCTCAAAAAAAAAAAAAAAACATTTGCCATGCATAGTGTAGTCCCAGCTACTTGAGAGGCTGAGGTGGGAGAATCACTGGAGCCCAGGAAGATGAGGCTGCAGTGAGCTGTGATCATGCCATTACACTCCAGTCTGGGTGACAGAATGGGACCCTGTCTCAAAAAAAAATTGTAGTTAAAAATCTTCCGCAGTCAGGCCGGGCGCGGTGGCTCAAGCCTGTAATCCCAGCACTTTGGGAAGCCGAGGCGGGTGGATCACGAGGTCAAGAGATCGAGACCATCCTGGTCAACATGGTGAAACCCCGTCTCTACTAAAAATACTAAAAAAAATTAGCTGGGCGTGGTGGCGCGTGCCTGTAATCCCAGCTACTCAGGAAGCTGAGGCAGGAGAATTGCCTGAACCCAGGAGGCGGAGGTTGCGGTGAGCCGAGATCGCGCCATTGCACTCCAGCCTGGGCAACAAGAGCGAAACTCCGTCTCAAAAAAAAAAAAAAAAAAAAAATCTTCCGCAGTCAGGCGTGGTGGGTCACGCCTGTAATCCAAGCACTTTGGAGGCCAAGGTGGGTGGATCACCTGAGGTTGGGAGTTCAAGACCAGTCTGACCAACGTGGTGAAATCCCGTCTTAAAAAAAAAAAAATCTTCCAAAACCTGACTCAAGACCCAGAAGGTCTTAGTTGCTAATTTTATCAAATATTTCAGAAGACATAATACCAATTCTGCATAATCTCTTCCAGAAAATAGAGAAGAAACACTTCCAGCTCATTTTATTAGGTCAGTATTAGCCTAATAACAAGAAACACACGCCGGGCGCGGTGGCTCAAGCCTGTAATCCCAGCACTTTGGGAGGCCGAGGCGGGTGGATCACGAGGTTGAGAGATCGAGACCATCCTGGTCAACATGGTGAAACCCCGTCTCTACTAAAAGTGCAAAAAAATTAGCTGGGCATGGTGGCATGTGCCTGTAATCCCAGCTACTTAGTAGGAGGCTGAGACAGGAGAATTGCCTGAGCCCAGGAGGCGGAGGTTGCGGTGAGCCGAGATCGCGCCATTGCACTCCAGCCTGGGTAACAAGAGCGAAACTCTGTCTCAAAAAAAAAAAAAAAAAAAAAAAAAAACAAGAAACACGCAAGAAAATACTACAGAAGATGCTACAAGAAAACTGTATGC